AATTTTTATTAAATCAAAGCTGTGTACATTAATGCAGTCATAGGGTACAGTGTGCTGGTTTTATATACAATTTGAAATATTTTCATCAAATTGGTTAACATAGCCTACATGGCGTAACTACTTTTTCTATAGCAACTAGTACCTGTTTGCATGTGATAGAGCCTGTACAGAATTAGGCGTTTTATCTCTTTAGTAAATAACAAAAGGTATTCCAATTCCATAATAGCTTTGCTCTAGCTGTCTGCTCATTCAAACTTTGTCCACATTCATAATGTGTTTGATACAGGACTCCCTAAGAACATAGGCTCTTTGCAAGTTTATTTATGTTTGAAATTTAGTTTGTTGCCAGATAGCTAATGCTCAAATGAACCTTTGTGTGACTGTACTTGTTAAAAAAGTTCTGTTGAATATTTCATCAAATGCCCAAGTATAAGATTGCTAGTCTAAGAGATCTTTGTCAATCATGATTTTCTTTTCTTTTCTTTTCTTTTTTTTTTTTTTTTTGAGACAGTCTCACTTTGTCACCCTCGGTGGAGTGCTGTGACGTCACAGCTCATAGCAACCTTCAGCTCTTGGATTTAGGGGATTCTCTTGCCTCAGCCTCCCAAGTAGCTGGGACTACAGATGCTCACCACAACACCCGGCTATTTTTTTGTTGCAGTTTGGCCTGGGGCCAGGTTTAAACCCACCAATCTCAGTATATGGGGCCCATGCCCTACTTACTGAGCCACAGGCACTGCCCCAATTATGCTCTTGGGCTTAGGCAATTCTCTTGCCTCAGCCTCCTGAGTAGCTGGGACCACAGGCACCCACCACAATGCCCGGCTATTTTTGTTGCAGTTTGGCTGGTGCCAGGTTTGAACCCGCCAAGCACCCTACTCATTGAGCCACAGGCACCACCTGTTTTCCAAAGGATTGTACAGATCTGACTCTATCAACATTGTGACATTTAGATGATCATCATTTAAATTTAATTTATAAAAAATGTCTTGACTTTGGGGAGCATCTGTGGTTCAAAGGAGT